TAGAGTCATTCTACTTATTGCCAGGAAAATAGTCAAAAAGCTGAACGCTCAAGGGATGAAAAAAGCTAGCGGTTCTCTCTGGAGCTGTGGGACATTGCTTATGAATATTAATTTATGGGGAAAATCCTAATCATCTGAAATGATAATTTCTTGACAAATAAAATTATAGAACACACATTAAAAAATAATTGGTTATGTGAAGACAGTAAGGAGATAAGTAAGAAGTCAGTCTCTTCTTACTACTCTTAGGCATTAAAACAATTAAATACCCAGAAGAAAGTCAACTTCATTTTGGTGTGCCAGCAGTAACTGACTTAACATGAGCTCCCTGCTGGGTTAGAGTATTGCGTCAATCCACTTCAGCGGATAGTTTTAATATCCCTCTCCATCCAGGTATATCTAACTATAAATTAAACGGAGGCACCTCCGCAGGGTGTAACAATGCAGGAAGGGCCTGTGACAGGGGTGACCCAGCGGCTGACTCAGCAGGACTTTCCCTGCCTCTTCCCCTGCAAGGGAGAACAGGAAATTTCAGAAGAATGTGTTCACACCAAACACAGCTATGAGCTGTGATTTAAAGCAGAGTCACATGCCCGCAGACAGCAAGGCCAGCGGAGTAAACAGGGCATCACACCGGTAACACACACACACAGAATGGATGCCCTCTCCACAAGAGACACGGCAGCCCAGCATCCTTCAACGCTGTCTGTGCCCACCACAGAGCTCCACCATTTAGTTGAGCACGGAGGCTACACCCTAACTGTTTGTCAGTTAAGTATTCCTATGTTTGACTATAAATAATGTAGATCATATTTGTGGAACATGATTAATGAACAGGACTTGAAACTTCAGCCCACACAGTAGCTGTGGGTAAATCAGAAGTTCTGTATAACACCACACCCAGGACAGCCTATTCTTGGCAGAGAAAACTCCTACACTCACTCTATCACTAATAAAATTCTCTGAAAATAATGATACTTAAGAGCAACTGCACAGCATGAGATCCCCAGAGGCCTGTTTAACCTGACACCCCATCTCTGATTAAGTCTGTAGAAGAGTGAAAGAACTGGACACACACACAGCAGATGCACCCCAAAGCCAAACTCTCAGACACTTATTTCCGGCACAGATCTGCTGAGCCAAACGTGGTGCTTTCGTGTTTACCAAATGATGATGCACTTCTCTGCACAACACCTCAGAGACCAGCGTCTTCATGGGCGGTTCTGAGCTCCCCACCTGATACATTTGCTGAATACTCTAAAAGAATTCAAGGAGACAAAAACAGGTGACAAACCATCCCTGTTTCACATTTACCTTCTTCATGCACCTGAATCACAATTTTAGAGGTTTTCACCATCTCTCTCCTTCCCTTCCCCTCTAAATCACCCCTCTGTGCTTTTTCAAGAGCTACTACTATTTCCTGAGGCCCGAGAAGGGACCCAGAGCTGCACAGCGCTTGCCACGTTGCCATGCCATGCATACAAGTAGCAACGTGATAACAACCTTTGTTTTGCTCTCTACTACTTCCACAACAATTCCTGCCGTTTCATTTCGTTGGACTGTCACAGCACATTTTCAGATAGCCATCCAACACCAAGGCCCTGCTCCTAAGGAGAGGTTTCTGCCTGCGATTCCACTGCCCAGGCACCATGCCTTGGCTCACACAGCTCCTGCGATGGACATCCCTGTTGTATTTCTCATTATGTACTTTCATTGTTAGGTTCTTCACAATGTCTGTGCTTGGCACTCAGCTCTGAGCATCTCAACAGCAGCAGCAAACTTCGCCATCTGACTTCTCACTCTTCTCCAGATCTTTTGTGAGTTTTTTGAACAGCACAAGCTCACAAGCCCACCACAGATACCTCTGCTGTGGAAACGGGCAAGCTACTCCTGCCCTACTTCGCTTTGCACCTTGGCCGATCACCCGGCCACAGCAGAACCCACCTCCCACCCCACGGCCACCAAGCTCTTCCAAAAGCCTTTGATGAAGAAGGTTTCAAAAGAGGGCTTGAAAAGCCAAGCACTGACTGAACGTCCCAACGCTATGGTGGTTCTTAGGAAACCATCAAACTCTACTGAAGCCAGCAGCTCCCTGCTAACAAGGTCCTAAGAACCATGGCTAGTTTTCAGCTATTAATCTAAACCAGCTGAGCTGTCAATCACCAGCTCTATTTCCCAGCCAAAATCATCTGCAGTTTTGCACACAAAAAAGAAATAAGCCCTAGAATTGACACGGCAATTTCATTCAAGTTAAAAGCAAAAGAACTTCACTTTCCTTCCAACATATCTAAAAACAAAACAGTAATTTGGTTAACCACAAGTATTACAGCCTTCCCATGATAAGGCTAGCTTCAAATCACCGAAAAATAATTACTAAGATGGCTTCTGTTGATTTAAAAGTATGTAGTGATTTCCATTTCCCTGACTATATTCATTTTGTTGATTCATTTTATACAAATAAAAACAAACCAATCATTTAAATAACTGTTCTTCAGCGAACATTTTCTGCCAACTGACGTGAAGGGAAAACCATGACACAGGAGAGCTCCAGATTCTGTACTCAGTCCTAAGACCAAGGGGTTTGCGCATTTGCATTTTTCCCCAGGGGGTGGTGGGGAGGGGTTGAGTTTTCCTTGACGTGAACAATATTTATTTCATATGAACAGTTTCCAAGAGGGAAATGCCTGCCTGTCAAGAGTTTCATTATGACAGACAGGTCTCAAACTAATTACTTAATGGGAAGGTATGTTAACGATAACTTTTACCAAACAAAAACTTAACAGAAGGACGCTAACAGGGAAGTTACTTGGCTAGCTACGACTGTTTGAATTACTGATTTTAATCAAATAACTTGAGTTATCATGTGGTTTTCCTCTAATTACTCAGTTTCAGCACTTACCTTTGTTCAAGTTATTCATGTGCAGTTCAGAGCTTTGTAATAGGTTGCACAGCTCATTTAAGGGTTGAACTGTCTGCATTTTACCTCCTCAGTGATTAAAGGGAAATGAGCGTCCCAAGAACGTTTAACAAGCCTCTCTGTTCTACAAGTAAACCTTCTCCTCAACCGCATCTTGTTGCCAAAAAAAGATTTACTGGATGGTTGGATGAAAACAAGGGATTAATGCTGGTGAAGAACACCACAGCTTTAGGGCACAATCAATCAAGTCTTCCCTTTCCACAGCAGCACTAGTTGTGAAAGATCCCTGTGATACTGGTCTTTGTTCCTTTACTGTCTTAGAAGGATTGCATTACCATTTCTACAATTTTCTTTCACGTTTTTTCTGCTAGATGTGTTAGCCCTCATCTTTGGGGTAAAAACCACACCTCGTACTTCTTTTTCTGATGCCCCGTCTTTCTGTACTAATTTCTCCATGCTGCCATTACCCCCTTTGCACGCACCTGCTTATTCTCTTGGGTCTTTTTTGTGTAGTCTTGAGTTCTCTCCTTTGTCATCCTGCTTTCATACACAGTCAGTAACAGAAAGGCATTGTCAAGAGCTGCTCTCCCAAGGAGGAACACACAACTCCACATGCGTGCAAGAGCTATAATTTAAGATTCTCCAAACACAGCCTGTGCGTGGAGGTGTTGGGGGGAACAAAGGGCCAACACAACATTTCACACCAATTTTGAGAGGGGCAGGGGAGAGAAGGACAGTCTTGAAGATACTCTTTTCACCTTCAAGTGGAGAGCTTCCTCCTCCCTCTGTCCTTCCCCTTGCCCATCTTCATCCCTGATCTCCCTCCCAGGGCTTCCCCACCCTAGGGTACCTCCAGTGCTCCCCCCTCCTCTCTTCCACAGGGAATGTGGAAGCCTCTCCCAGCTGCTGAGCTGCTCCATCCACCACTCCTTGTCAGCTGCCTCTCTGCAGCACATCCATCTGATGCCCAGCCCGAGCTCACGCTGTGCAGAGCGGCTAACAGGAGCAGCCGGCAGGCAGCAGCGGAGGGGACTGCTGAGCAGCTGCTTCCCGCACAGGCCTGGGACGCTGGCTCGGACAGCTGTTTTTATGATTTATTAAGCTTATTGTAGCATCATATCATTATGACTGCATTCCAACAATTATCTCCAAATAGTTACATGCAGAGCTACTTGGCATTAATTACTGACTGATTAAAAAAAAAAAATAATTAAACCTCTGATATCTTGACCATCATTCATTGAGTACCAAAACCTCTTGAATTATGACCAACAGAACCAGAGACAGGCAATGGCAAACACAAAGATCCCAAAAGGCACTTTTTCAGCTGAAGCTTAACATCCTAGCATGTAGTCAAACCTGCTAAGCTACAGAGGATCAAGATATTTTACCGTTTTTAGCTTTTAATTGAAAAATTACATAGAAGCAATACATTTTCATCGAAACCCAGCTGATCAGAGACTCAATAAAATAAAACTTCTATCCTATCTGAGATTTCATTTAAGCCTCAGAAGATTAGATTTCAGACTATGATTCACATCTGCTGTCTTCTCCTCCCATAAACTGGTGCCCCATCACTTCTCAGTTGTATTACCTAGTGCAGAAGTTCATTCTGGAAATTTTTCACATGTGAAAATTTCAGCTTTAACTTAAAACCACAAAACATTCCCTTAGGATTTAAAGAAAACCCTTGTTTTGGCCAGAACAAACACATTACAACACACTTCTTTCTCCAAGTTGCAAACACAAACATTAATAGTATAAATGACAATTCTCACACATGATTTTCATTTTCCCCTCAAAGGAACCAACATGAAAAAAACACCAGGCATTCAACTTGTCCTGTTGCTGTATCACATTTTGGTCAATCCATAATGTTACCTTGTAAAAATTACTGTCAGGACATTAGCAAGCTACCTGAACCTCATTTTACCTTCAGCTTCTGTGCACCAAGCAAGCCACGTAACCAGTAACAAACAGGGCACTCAAACAAGAGCAACTGTTTTGAAACCATAGATCTTGTGTATCCTGAAACATATCTGCAGTAATTTAAAACATTTTCTACTCATTGGAAGGAGCTTACCTGAAGGACAGGCACTTTTTGTGGTGTGTTTTGTGGTGACTGGTGAAGCTGTGCCCAAGGCTGATGATGAGGATGTGGGGGTGGTGAAGACTGATGATGTATCCCTGGATGAGGCTGCATGGGAGGACAGGTTGGCATTTGCTGTTGAAAAGATTGCTGTTGACTAGGAAGCTGCTGGCCAGATATTAGTCGCTCTTGTATTGCTTGTGGATCTGCAAGGCCAACACCTGGACAACCATTTGGTCTCATGTGCCCACCCATCTCCCGTGGTGTTGAAGACATACCCATAAACGGACGATTCTGCTGAATGTTTCGGGGGCCCATATTCCTTTGTCCAATTCCCATGGCACCAGGGGGCTGGTGTGACGGCTGAGGATGGGGTATATTTGAGTAACTGCCAACTTCCATTGGTATTCCAGCACTACCAGGTCTAACCTGTGGAGGAGGCGTACCTGCTGGATTACTCATTGCTTTCATCGGTGACATGGGAGGTGGAGAGGCATAAGTTCCCTGAGGCTGTGAAGGGTGCATAGATTGCGTGTTCATTTGGTTAAGTGAGCCACTAGGGTGGATGGGTTGCTGGTGCATTAGTCCTTGACCACTGTTTGATGGAAATCCGACAGCATTTGGGTATCTTGGTACAGATTGATTCATTGGAGTGTTATTTGTAAGGCCTAAATTCTGATTCATCCCTGTATTATTAACTAATCCCTGATTAAGGTTACTGTAAGGATATCGAGAATACTGCCCTGAGTTGTTTATAGTAGGTGAGGGTACCGTCTGGCTCCGAGAACTAAAATTAAGTGTTTGCGGCCTAACAGCACCCTGCTGAGGAGGATTAGGGGAGAATCTGGGGCTGTGGGCTACTGATTCTCCATGGAGAGCAGTGGGGGGATGGTGGTGAAATTGCTGGACTGAGTGTCGCAAAGAAGGTGCCATACTGGGATTCTGCTGGGGCACGTGAGACAAGTGGCCAGGTCCTGAGGTGGCGATAAAAGGGTTTCCCTGATTGAGGCCTTCCTGGCCTTGAGAAAACTGGTTCATCCTCTGCTGTTGTGGCTGACCGTGCTGCTGCATTGAAAAATCACCACGAGCCATGTAGTTTCCCATCTGCTGCATGTGCTGAGGATGGCCCTGCCCAGGTGGTCCGGAGGGCGCCTGTGGCGGCTGCGTCGGTTGCGGCTGCTGCTGCTGTTGCTGCTGGTAGGGTGCTCTTATCTGGTCCGGCACTTGAACTGCCCGTGGTCCCCACATGGAGCCACTGTCTACGAAGGGTTGCCCGTGCCTTTCATTCTGCATGCTGGGATAGACTCCCATCTGACCACCAGCACCACTGCTGTGAGGAACCTGAGGAACTGGAGGGTTGTGATACTGTGAATGAGGAGACGCGATACCGTTCCCAGGGGCACTGCTTATCATCCTGTTCGGCTGATCCATCAGGTGCATTTTCTGCTGTTCGTATTGATTATAGTGATCAAAATGGGTCAACTTGGCTTGATTTTGATTTGCAGGGGGATGATGAAGAGGTGACTGTAAAGAGGGAAATCCTTGATCCATAGGCATTTGCTGCCCCATAGGATTTACCGTGTTTTCAGGATATCCACATTCTCCAAGACCTTCCAACCCTTCACTGAAAATATTCCCATCTTCTCCAAACAGACTCATCATTCCTGGATCTGCCATCGCTTTCCAGCACACAGCTCCTTGGAGCTACAACTAGAATGCTAGTCTGTGCTTCACCTCGGTGAGGTGTTTTGTCCTCAAAGCCTTTAATCCTCAACTAATCTCCTTCATGTCATTCCATATTTCCTTAATTCTTCTGGACCACGCAGTGTCAGGCAAAGTCTGGTTACTGCTCCTAGAAAAAGTGGGGGAAGGGGGAGAAAGAGAGGAAGATATTGAAATAAATAACGTCAGGCAATATAAAGAAAACATACTTGAGTGTTTTTTAGACAATGCTAGCTAGTTTCAGCCCCTGAAATACATCTTTAAAAAATAAATTGCACTTTATGAAGGATTCATTATCTTTATCAGAAGCTTTATTACGACAGCGAGTTAGGAAGCAAGCAAAACATTAGCCTTAACCTTAAATTAATCCATTCACTGCACTTCCTAGTGCTCCTTTCTTGGGTGGAACAGAACAAAAGAACACAACATGCAGCAGCAGCAGCTGCCACAGCAGGTAGGCAGACGTATAAATACAGCCAAGCAGCCCATCTGCCGAACTAAAGCCCTGAAAACGCTCTAGTTACCAACAGCCTGTCCTCAACCTTATTCCCTTGAGCTGTGTAATCAGATGAGCAAGCAGAAGCACCAAGTCCTACAACAGACTAAAGTTAGTTATACAGACAACAGATTTTTCAAACACACAGAGATGACCCTCTAAAACATACTAAACTCCAAGACTTAGCATTCAGGAAGAGAAAAAAAAAAAGTATTTTTTCTCTAAACATGCAATTTATCTTAATTTAATGAAGTTGTAAACTGAAAGACAGGGCTCTTCTTCCCATTTGAGCAAAACTATAATTTTCTTACACAAAGTGAACGTAAATTGAAAAGCTTCATTCTGTAACAGGATAGATTTCTCAATCCATACCCTAACTTCTCTCATGATGGTAACAGGGAACACTGTCATTGGAGTTCATTATTCATCTTCAGGCAATTATGCTACTAACTGCAACTACAGCACTTTAGAAGACCACACTGAAGTTTTGTTCTTTCCAGAATCCTAATCTTGAAAACCCACTCAGGAGAGTTAGCAACGGCAAAAAGAATTTAAATAATAAAACACTAACCTAACAAGGTACACACTTGGACTTGGGAAAAAAAGAAAAAAGCAACACACACTAACAGCAGATTCAGATAAGTTCCCGTTTAGGTTTTTCACGGGGAAGACTGGCATGTTCTGAAATGTGTCTCCCATTCTCTCCCTGCAACAGCTCAGAAGATTTTGTCTGGATCTTCTTATTATGAATGAAACTAGACTAATGCTATCTTTCCTCCTTAAGGTCATAATTTTAAACACTACATCCTGTATCTCAAAATAAACTTTAAGACGACAGAGTCAAGGAAGCCCATCATATAGCAAATAAAAATGACTATTTTCGCATCTTTGTCATGATTTAGTATTGACTATACTTGCAGATACCAACTTGCCCTTAAGCAGCAATCAAAGAAGATTTACAAGTTTGTGCTTCCACATCTTGATGCAATATTGCAATACTGTAATGTGTAACAGTGTTGCTATTTTGCTGCAGAGAAGGGATACTTTCAGTCACTTTGGATGCAAAATGCCAGGCCAGACCATTTTAACTGAACACAGTTTGTCCCGGAGAAGTTTCAGGAAGAAGATATCAGCACATTTATTACACTTCTTGTAGCCATTGTCAAGAGGACCTTCTACTGCATGAACCAGAGGGCAAGAGGAAAAGCACAAGCATTTATCACTCCTCTTAAAATAGCATTTGAATGTCACCTTTAAAACCACACTCTTGTATCTCTTTAGTGCTCGGCTGGGATATTAACACTTATATTTCTAAATCACTCAGGGATAAATTCGCACAAGCCATTCTCATATCTCTATTTCTTTTTGATTCATTCTTTACTAAGCAGAAACCATCTGTAATATTTACCACCTTCATCAGTTTACTAAAGCACAGCATAAAGAAGTTCCAACAAGATGAGAAACATCCCCCTTCACCAAAACAAGCTTTTGGTATGAGACTGCTCCAGGGCAGACCACTCTGCTGCGGTGAAGATCACTCCAGTGGTTTCAGATTGCTCAAGGACTTCTGACATTACAGCCTCTGCGGATGCACACTGCCATCAGGAGCTGGGAAAGCTGGACATCCATGTGTGCTGAGAGCCTCTAACGGAACCGTCTCTTTGCTTGGAAATGCTAAGGAGCACAGTGCACAGACACTGTCACCTCCCAGCCACTGATGTAATCTGGGGAACATCAAACTTGAGCCAAGCAGAGGATCTCACCCATCAGCTGAGCTATTTACGGCCACAGAATTACGAAGAGGCAAGAATGTTCACTCATTGTCTTGTATGAATCATACCTACTAAAAGAACCATTTTTGAAGACAAGCATGCTCTACCCTCCTGAAGCACTAATAAAACTTTGCAATAAAAATAACTGAAATCTACCTAAAAGAATTCTCTTTGTTATCTGTTATAGACCAGCTAAAAGAGCATCTCCAGAAACAAGGTTACAAGCATCAAGCACACATTTAAATCACACTGCTTCGTTTCCTAAGCTAACAGGCTTCCAATAAAATTCAGGCCAGAGTCAGGCACCAGTAACAGTCAACACTGGGTGAGAGTAGTTAGGAACTGCTACTACAGAAAATCAAATTAAAATAGCATAAAGGGTTTGTTTAATTAAACACACCTTATTTCTGCCCACTCCATCCCAAGTCACAGGTCTGAGCTAGGGACTGTCCCTTACAGTGAAGGAGACATGCCATGGAGCCTAGCACTCCCCTGGCTTCCTGAGCACAGGCTCCTTCAAAAGAAAAGTAACCTCTAACTTGATGATGCAGTTTGTACACAAATAAATCCACCATCTAAACTAAGAGCAAAAACACTGTTTACCACTATTGATTATTTTAGTTCTGCATTTTTACCTGAAGTGTGAACTGATTTCATGTTTGAGCTGGTGGCGCTAAAGTAATCAGGTTTGAAACACAGCATAAGAGCATGTTTGCAAAGAAGTCTCGAAATGGTAGCAGTATTTCTTCAGATTCAGGTTTGGCCTTAACTTTAATGACTGCCTTGTACAGTTAGTTGTGCTCTCACCAAACCTTCTTCTACTTCGCAAATAAAAGTCACACCTCTGAGGTGGTATATGGCTAAGAGCACACATTGAATAATGAAATACAGTAGCAGGTACAGCCTGACCAAAATAAATTAACTAACGTTATGATAATAAAACAGTCAATACTGGAATTACCTAATGAGCTCTCAGCCTTCTACGCTAACAGGATAGATGTCTTCTAGATAGTTAAGCCAGTCATGAGAGTCACAGCCTTATTTTAAGTTGCAATCATTTCTTTGCTTCTTTCACCACACACAATGGATTTTCGCTGCTTAAATCCTCAAGACTGGTCCAAAAATAATGAAAAAAAGCCCACACACAAAGGCAGGACCTGTATCAAGCAATAATTTTAGCTACAATACTCACTAAGTGCCACAGTTCACTTCCCCATGAAAGCAGACATGCTAACAGCAAGACTGACCATGGTAAACTGAGCTTAAAGTCCTTTTTTTGGATGAAATAGTTTTAAAACTTGAGTTTGTGCATCTTCTCTACTATCCTGTAAGTTAAAGCCAACAGACATTCATGAAGCAGTGACTATTTTCCAGGTACAAAGGAGAGAATATCTGAACCCTTAGAAAGGCAGATTGCTGAATAAAAGTATGACTGTACGAAGAGACAGTAAACTTTTTATTTTAAATCACCTTAAAAAAACTATACAGGATTCCACTATAAAATTCTATAGCTTTTCTGTTCCTGAACACAAAAGATCATACCAACAAGACTGAACTAAAGAGTCAATAAATATATTTCCTTGAGACTGCCTAGACACCCTATTTCTGTTCAAAGCAATGGTATGATGCCAACTACCAGGAAACAGTAAATTGCTTAACAACCCTGTTGTCTCAACAGACAAAGCTTACATTTACTTGGCTGCAACATTCCAGTTCTGAACAGCTAGATTTCAAATTTAAGTAGTAATTAACCACTGCTTAACTTAGTATTTTGAGGGCTACATGGACTCAGTAACCTTGGGCTGCTTCTTGCTTTTATGAGTGGAACTAAACTGGCTGCTGTATACACAGAAGCCGGTCTAGGGCTGCAAACACTAAAACCTGAACTTCATTAGTCCTGCTCCCGAAGCAGCAGATCTAGCCAGTCAAGACCAGGAAGCGGGCAAGGGCAGCACACAAATGCACGTGCCCTCCATAACATCCTCCTCACATCCTGCTGTTAAGAACTTTTTGTAAATGAACAGGTTCCCCAATTCAGCTATCGATCCTTCTATACAAGAAATTAATCAGCATTTCTTGATGGCCACTGAGCAAGTAAACTGAATAAACAGAACATGACAATGCAGCTAATACTGACTGCTTCACGCTTTGAAGCGAGGTGTGTCATGCAGAGTTGGTATTTCTACAGCTATCAGTTGATATCTCAGATAAAACTCTTAAGCACTTGATAGACACAAAACAGTTACTCATACAACAGCACCAGCACCTACAACACAACGCAACGAACACTGCAAATACTGTGCTATTCTGAACAACTAGGCTAAAAAGACCTCTTACGCTAAAAACCAAAGCCATGCCAAAGGTCATTTTGAGACTTGAGCCTCAAAATGTAGGATTAAACATTAGGCTACCAAATCTGCATTTAAACATTGCGTATTTAAACTGCTTTTCAAAACTGCTAAGCTGCTGCTGGCTGATAGGGGCAGTAATGTGAGCATTTGCTGCATGGAAGCAGATCACACAGATGACAGCAATTAAAGTCACATTTCTATTTTGTGAAGAAAGTTGGAGGAAAGCATTCACCAAAAACTTCATGAACATATGTAACACACTGACAACATGGGAAAAGTCACATCAAGACATCCAAATTGAAGAAGATGGCTAATGAGACTTTTACCTTTCATCTC